GCGCCGGGCCCGGGAGGGGACTTCCTTCCCCCGGGAACGGGGCTGGGAGATTCCCTCAGGAAAGGCCAAGCCCCACCTTCCCGTTCCCGGCCCCGGAGTGCTTTCAGGCCCGTGTCCTAACACGCCCAGCGCCTGCAGGTCTCAAAGCTCCGAGGATTTTCAGGTTGGGCCAGTGGTCCAGGCTGGGGAGAGGGGAGTTGTACGGTTGTGCAGGTTGCGACCTAAACAAGGGCCGGGTGGAGGGGTTAAAAGTCTTGGGCCTTGGCAGGTGCTGCTCTTTCTGGAGGGAAGGCAAGGGGCACCTTTTCTCACAAAGGGTCCGAATGAGCAAGTCTGGACTGCCCTTGATTTAAGGCTGCTGACTGTAGACGGGGGAGAGCAAATGGCTAGAATTGGCTTCTGTGGCTCAGGGGCAGGGCTAAAGAGAGCAGGAGGACTCTCATGGCTCAGGACACAGACAGTTCTACCAATTGAGCTTCCCTGGTTCCTTCTTCCTGAATTCTCCTCCCATCCTGATCCTGTTGTCCAATCCACTAGCAAAGTTTGTCCCTTCTGTCTCTAAGATATATCTTGGATCAGCCCCTGCTCCCCACTCCCCTCCAGCGTCCAAGCCCCTCTTCCCTCCTTGTACAACTGCAAAGGCTCCTGTCTGCCCTCCTGGCTCCCCGACAGTCAATTCACACAGCTTCCAGGGGGACACTGTTAAAAATACCAATCATAAAAAAAGTCAGAGCATGTCACTCCCTGTTTAACAACTTTGCATGGCTTCCCTTGGAGGAAGGCCCCAGTTTCTTACCCTGGCCCCTGCCTATGCTGACCTCTCCTAGATCATTCTCCCCTCTGTCCAGATGCTGCTCACACTGGCTGTCTTTCTGTTCCTTGACCTTGACAAGTTTTTCCCACCTCTGGCTTTGGTCTTGCTGTTCCCTTTGCCTGGAACCGTCTGCCCAGACCCTTCACAGGGATGTCACCTCCCCACCCTGACACAACAGTACAGCAGCCTCACATCCAATTGCCTTATCTACTGTGTCACTTAACCGTGTCTCTTTCTTCAGGACTTAATGGCTTTCTGTAATTATCGTCTTTATGCACTTGGTCTGTGGTCCGTTTCACTTACCAGAATGCAAGCTTGATGAATGCAGGTGTCTTTCTTGTTCTCTGCTAGCGCAATGCCTGGCACAAACCTAGGAGGTGCTCAACATACTTCATGCAGTTAAGGAATGCAGGAGTCCCTGGGGAATGAATTGGCTACTCATCCATTCGATCACTTCTAAGGGGGCCACTCCCTGGGAGAAGCCAGCTGCAAACCCCTGTATTCACCTGTGTTTCACCCAAATGCCTCATATATGGACAGGCCTGTGGTTTCCAATATCAATAAACTTAACAGCCAAGACTTACTGAGCATTTACCATGTACCAGGCATTATTCTGAGTGCTTTACGTGGCTTAACTAATTTAATTTGTACAACAAAGTAGATGCTAATATCCTCAGTTTACAAGCAGAGACATACTAGGACACACACAAGAGTGCATCATAAGCACTGAGTTGATTATCATTGTACAACAGATGGGTGAATTGAGTAAATACACAGGTGAGCCTACTTCAGGAAGGTGGAACAGATCAGGAGGACAGAGCATTAGGGGAGAATCAGCATGGGGGATGTGATGGGGGACACTGGGCTGGTTTGGGCAAGTGGGTAGAAGAGGAAGTGTAGGGCCACGGGGCGTGCTCCTGCTCTGGGTCCCCACAGCACTGAGGGGTGCAGCTGTGGTGCAGGGGCGAGGGCCTGGGTCCGGTATTCTGCCACCCACCAGAGGGCAACCACTTACCCGCTTGGGGCCACATTAGCAAAATGCTGGGGAAGGCTTACATAACACCTAACTGCCAGAGCCGTCACCAGGATTAAATTTAAAAATGCTCATGAAAGTGCTTCATCAGCTGCAGAGGGCTGCTGAGCGAGGGGAGTAGGGAAAGGGTGCAGGCTGCTGGCCTGAAAAGCTGGGATTAGAGCCATACTTTGGCTCCTCTTGCGTCAGTCCCCTACTATGTGCCCCTCCAGGGTGGACCAGGGCCTACCAGTTGTTTTCCATATGTGGCTGGCACGGAGTTTGTACTCAATGGGTGTTTGTTGAGTGAATACATGTGTTTGTTGAGTGAATGCCTGAGTGCGGGAAAGACCTGGGGAAGGGTAAGAGAGGGAAAATAAATACATAAGTGAAAGATGGAGGAAATGAAGAAGGGACTGGAGATGCCATCTGCCTCTGAGCCTCAGATTCTTCATCTGTAAAAGACCATGGTAAGGCTTGGGTCTCTAGTGTGGATCTGATGAGTTGTGGCAGGCCCATGGAGGCCACCCCTTGCTGTCTATGCTGGGCTGAACTGACCACTACTCCCCTCCCCCACATCCCCGTCCCCCGGAATTTATAGATTGCTCATTGTCCTGCACAAAGGCCCTCTTGGGGAGGAGGCGGGGTGGGTGAGGAGACTGGGGAATTAAAAAGTCAGAGGCTGAGTAAGAGCCAGCCACACCCGAGGCCCCATAAATCTTCCTAGGCTCCCTGTAAGGTGGATTTGCTCTGTCCTCACCCAGAGCGGCTTGCAGGACTCCTGCTGCCTGGAATCAGCTCGGAAGCCTCGAGGTCACCACCACGGTGGAGGTGTGGAGGCCTGAAGACGGGACCCTGACCGTGGGGGAGGGGTGGATCCTATTGTTTTATCCCTGTGACATCAGAAAATCCTTCCTCCCATCCCGCTCCACTCCCTTACACGTCCCTGTAAGTCTAGCCCATGGCTGTTGGGACTGAGCAGAAAAATTAGCTTTCTGTGGGTATTCTGAGTTCCTTGGTGAGGGGGGCCTGGAGGTCCAGACTCTGGGAAAGCAGCCGCCTCCCCCACTCCGGCCGCTCCGGGAAAGGAGAACTGGCAGATGGTGCAGTGTTAACAGATGACAAGAAAACAGAATTACTCAGCCGCTCTGTCCCTCATGTTCGTGGAAGGGATGGCCTTCAAACTGGAAAGAGACAATGGTGTCAATTGGGAGGGCTGGGGAGGAGGGGGAGGGAGGGAAGCTGTGGGGCATGGGGGGCCTGCAAACCAGCACACGGAAGACCGGCTTGGAGTCCCACTCACCAGTTGGGGGATCTCCAGCAGGTTGGTTAACCGCTCAGAGTCTGCGTTGCCTCATCTATAAAACAGGTCGACGAAAAACCCTGTTGTACCTTCTCACTGGCTTTTATGAAGATAATGTGGATTTTTCTCTTTATAAAACTGGGCTTTATGACTTGTGAAGGTGTCAACATATAAGAGGTTACTTATAAACTCTAAATGCCAGCCCCTTAGGTGTTTGTAGAATCATTTTTTTTTTTAAAGATTTTATTTATTTCACAAAGAGAGCACAAGTAGGCAGAGCAGCAGGCAGAGAGAAAGGGAGAAACAGGCTCTCCGCTGAGCAGGGAGCCCAACACGGGGTTTGATCCCAGGACCTTGAGATCATGACCTGAGCTGAAGGCAGCCGCCCAACCGACTGAGCCACCCAGGTGCCCCTGTAGAATCATTTTTAAAACTCTTTTCCCTACAACAAAATGGAAGAGAATAGAAAATATCACGTGCATCACAACATTATGTAAAACTTTTGCTTTTACTTCTGTGGATGTTCTTGTGTCCTGGAGCCAGAGGTAGATGTATTTTACTGTGGGTTATGGTCCAAAAAGTTTGAAATATTCCAAGTGGAGGGAGTTCTTTCACGGTATCTCCAGAATGGAAAGGTGCATAGATGGAAATTAACAACAAGAAACGCACCAGGAGAAATATAAATGGAATGGGCCTTGGGCTATGGAACCCCAGGGTGGGGAGACCTGGTTCTGAGTAGCTC